CTGTGAGCTCCGTCTCTTGATGGTCCTGTTAGCATCCTGGACTGCTCTCTCTGTAGCTATTCCTCGTCCCATGACCTCCGGAACGATGCACATTAAAATGTGCACCACCCCAGAGGTTGTGAGCCTCAACTGCTTCACACCCTTCTCGATGTCTGTGGCCAGGTCCCTTTCCCTTCTGCCTAAGACGCCATTTAATCGATAATGTACCACCACAAGGTTTTCCTCCCCCTTGTTCACAGCCAACATTTCTACTGTCGTGTCCATCACCTCCTTCATTCGCCTGGCTGGTAGGGCTGCAACCTTTACTCTTCCGTCTCTCCCGGCCTTGCTAACTATCCCCGCTGTGCACCTAGACACATTAGAGCTTCCTACCATCAAGACTCCCTGCCCCCTTCCCTTTTGTTTTTCCTGCATTGTAGGTTTGGTAGCTGTCGGAGCAGGGGGGTGCCGTTGCACCACCGTACTGTACAACGGCCCCGCTGCCTTTACCGCCACACTAGTGTCTAAGTCCTCTGCACTCTCGCCCTTTACAACCGGCACTGCATCGACGGCTCCTTGAGGCGCTATTTTAAGAAATCAGGATCTTCAGCAGAGGTAAAGATAGCAGAGCCAGAGAACTGATGGAGGCGTTTTATATAAAGAGGAGACGTGACTGGTGTTAGCGATACCTCGGTTTCTTTGTTTGAGAGTGAAGTCCAGTTTTTATCCGGGTTGCTGGTGGGATAATGACTATCCAGGAATGTGTCTTGTTGGGTGACTTTTCTATCTGTTTTCTGTTTCTTTTTTCCTTCTATGTAGCGTGCTGCGCGTGCTCTTTCTGGATGTTCGTGGTCGATCGAGCACGAATAAAATAGTTGCAAGTTGCGCTTGTCTTTGTTTACTCGCTTGTGATTGTCCCTTGTGTCGCGCAAAAACTCTTCTAGACTGCATCATGAACCAACTAGGCCAACAACAAGTTTTAATCTCCTCCCTCGGTCCCCTGTCTCTTTATCTCCTGGAACTCACGTCCCACACTTTCTAGCTCCTTCTCCACTGCCTCTCGCCCTTCGTTCTCCTCCAGTTGCCATTCCATTGTTTCATGTCTATATTTGTTGGACTTTTGCTTCGCCTTCACCTCCTCACTCTGCCCTTGCCAGGCCTCCTCTAGCATCTCTCGCTTCTTTCTCTGTCTCCGTTCACTTTGTCCACATATTTTTTAATTCCTCCGACAAAACCATCCAGTCTCTTTCTATCGTCTTAAAACCTGCCCCTAGATTATCCAGCTCGGCCCTCTTCTCCGGTTCCTACATGGGCTCATCGTTCTGCTCCTTTACCTGAGCCTCGAGCACAGCCCGCTTCTCTTTCTCTTCCTTGAACTCCCCTATAAGCTCCTCACACTTAGCCGAACCCTCTCCTTCTACCCTTCTAAGGCGTGTCCGCGGTTGCCAGACGGGTGCTTCCAAAAAAGTCTTTCCTTCTCAAGGTTGTCAGACTAGCTTTTAAAGAGCGGCTGCTTGCAGGCACGTATACCACGCGATGACTCTTCATTCTACAATTAACCCCATAAGTGATGACGTCACAACATGGCACTCCGCTCCAAACAAACCGTCGCTAGGACCGTTGTAATTAGCAAATGCAGAGGGGCTCAACGTAAGGTTAGGAAGGGTCTGAAAAAAAAAAAGGAGATAATTTTTTGTAAGCATTGTGTCTTCTCAATATCTAATCATGAAGGCTTTTTCTATCATCTGAGTACCATAAAGCGATGACAAAAGCCTGTAATAAAGTTTCACAACCGATTTTACCTTGCTAGCAGACGACAGAAGAACTTCGCGGTTTCAGTGGTTCTTTCTGAGCGAGTACGCGACCGCGTTGAATGATGTTGGTGACGATCGACGAAACTTCTATTCTCGGGGTCAACTTTACGTAAGATTTTTGAAAGCAAAAAGTGCCCGTGCAGAGCTTTGATAGACGCTCTAAGTGAGCGAACGCCTTTCCGTGCAGCTTCTTTTCGCAATATTTGAGAATGTGAAAACACTGTGAAGACGAGGTGGCCGAATCAGGTACGACGACAACGTTAAGTGTATCAAGGTTGAAGTGCAGGCCAGCACACGTTCCAAGGATTTTTGACTGCACAGTTGCTTCAGTGGTGCACATCTGTGTGATCAAACGAACTGTCCGTAACAAATATGAATAATCGCTGGTGGAAACGAATCGACAAGCGTAAAACCGAAAATAAAGACGTACTCGGCGAACTTGTGCCTAGAGTCAAAAGAAAGAATGGGCGTCGACGGTGGCAGCAACGCGACGCCGCGGCGGCGTGACAGACAAAGCCGCGCTCGGCTCTTTACCTACATTTGACATAGAACATTTGACATAGAATGTTCGTTAGTGAGCTAGGGCGAGACTGATTAGGCTTGGTCGTTCTGACCTACTTATCTTTTACACTCGGGGTAAGAGTAGACTCGAATCTTCTAGAGGCACGGAGAAGCGTTCCTTCACAGTCATGCGCCCTTGCGGCCTTTCAGTTTTATAAAACTAAAGAATCAGTAGGATTTTTTTTACAGTCTGATGATTACTGTGCGGGAACGAAACACACACCCATATTGCGAGCCTGAAAAATGAAGTTTGGGGTCTCGAACCGCTCATGTTAGAGTCAAAATAATGGGTCCTTCATTACAATGCACGTGAACTGCAAAATTAAAAAGAGGGCCTTGCGCTGCTTTGATATCATGTTCTCAACAAATGCTGTTCTCGCTGTATTTTTAGCAGGTCTCCATACGTGGGATGATTTTTGTCAGACCGTACTCTGTATCGCACAGAAATGCGATTTGTTATAAACATGATTAGGTTTCTTGACCTGCCATGTTCCAAATAAATACAAAATCAAAATCGTATCGTTGTGCATATGATTCAAACTTGCAGACGACATACTTTATTCGTTCTGTGTGCGTTCGTCATGCGTTCGTCATCTGCAGCAGGCATTTTGAGGCTCCTGGAGGACCGGAAATTACCGTCGCAAATATTTCAGAAACAGCCGATACTCGGCAAACTTCTGTCGTGCTAAGTGTCAAATCAAGTCTTCCTTTATCTATCATATTTAGGTGTTCAAATTCCACGTCTGATTTTTGACCGATCGTTCTTTCGAAGCGAAATCCAGTCTCATGTATTTGTCCATTACAACGCCCCTACCAACGGTTTCTTTTGAGCGGCGACGTCACACTTACGGGGTCAATTCCATTGTACATCAACTGGCTGTTTATAAACAAGATTGCGCTTGCCCAAACCAGGTGTGGGCACTACGCGCGCGCAGAAACAGGAAACCAGACTGACGTGAGGTGAACCGTCTGGTCATGCGCTGTGAAGACGGCAGCGCCACCGCAACGGGATGACGTCAGAGTTGAGTTGGTGTACAGCAACGTTACTAGATTACCTCAGTTGTGGAACTCCTGCAGAAGGGGAGTTCCACAACCCCTCACTTACTTCAGTCCGCCCCCCGTCGTTCTAAGCGCCATCTAGATTTTCGTTTACGAACTGTGTGTTTCATACTGTACGATGGAACATCATCTAGACGCTGCGCTTTGAAACGTACGCATTCCATAGAATATACAGCAGTTACCTTAGCAGCCGTCCGGCGCGTCGAACGACGGGAGGCGAGTCGTGGTGTGTGAGAATGGGGGGGGGGGGGGGGGGGGGGGGGGGGGGGGGAGGGGGGGGGTGGAGAGGGTCGTGCATGCGGCGTCTATGAGCAGTTCCGTAACTGAGCTAATCTATTAACGTTGGTGTACAGACAGTCTGCCCCACAACGTTGCCAGACTGACACTGGAACAAAGCGTTTTGCTGCATGATGGCCGGACTAGCGTTTGAAGCGTGGCGGCTTGCGAAGGTGCCATTTTACCATCTACTTCTCCATCCTACATTTACATTCTGGATATAGTTTGCCCGGCGACATGGGCATAAAACGACGCTACGTCTTTGTCCCCGCTCCATTGAAAGGGCTGCCAAGGGACCGAAAAGAGCAGTCTAGGCAGCTGCAGCCTTCTTTCCCGAATTCTTAAACGAGGTTCTGGGCGACCGGCCAGCCAAGGCTCAAGATTGACGAGCGTCCAAGAACCTGATCGATAACCCGTTCGCCATTGGACTGGAATTCGGCGCAAACGTTGGCTCATTTTTTTTTTTCTCGCTATTCTGGTTACAGCTGCCGCCCCGGTCGAACGTTTCTTGTTCGATCACGCCGCAAGGCTTGGGTTGTTACTTTTGAACTTTACGCTGGAGTACTAGCTAAATATACGGTTCGAATGTACTGTATGCGTTCTTTGGACTTTATATGTGTATGAAATGTAGTTCATTCTCCTATAAGACGAAAACATTAGCTGTCGGAATTAACAGCAGAATCTGTGCATGTCGACATTCTAGTGTTTGCTCAGCTTCGTTTTCTAAACGGTAAAAGTGTATTGGTTTTCTTCCGTTAACCTACATGCTTCCTCCAAATGTAATTATAAATCAATTTGTTAGGATAGAAAAGATATAAAAGCCTAATTTTCGATATTCACGTTGGTTTGAAATGCTTTTGAAAGATGCGTTTTTAATAAACTGCCAACGGCTAACGTCGGCAGGCGCACACATTGGTCCAAGCATAAAACGTTGTGCGCCGCAGCAGCTGATGATGTGGGCCGCTTTAAACGTAAATAAGGAAGGCAACTAGGGACAAGACGCCCAGGTTCGGGGAAACGATTGTGATAAATAAAGGTGAACGAATTCGCTCATAGTTATTTCAGGATATGCAGTCGAATTAGAAAACTATTGTCTGCAGGAAGGTAGACATTACGAAACCGTCTTGAGGCAAGTCTAATGAAAACACCAAAGTAGTTGAAACAGGCAGGAGGAACATGAAAATTTACGTCATAGAAAACTCCCGTCTAATTTACTTTAGTCTTGTCTACATTTGCACGTAAATTACGCCGATAGATGTTTAAGAATGCTCTTCGTAAGGTCATAATTAACGGTGGAAGAGCAGTACTCACGTTAGCCCTTGACAGCCGCAGGCGGTGCGTCTTGGGCACTGGTCTCCATCGTGGAAGATCGGGTGCTGCACATGACGGTCCCTTTGGGTCTTCGGGAGTCGGACTCGTGTCGGTAGCGGCAGCAGTGCTTGACCGGTCCGTTGGCGGCACAGTCACCGCGTCGGTCGACAAGATCGTCGTCTGATCATTGAAGATCTCCTCCTGTTTGGACGTACTCGGAGGGTACGTCGACATCGGCGAACTCTCAGGGACGGGCGACGTGAACGACCCAGTTTCATTCTTGTCCAGGTTATACAGCTCTGTCTTGGCGACATCCGTTGCGAGCTTTGTGGGAAGGCTCGTTGGGACATCCGGAGGAAGGTTTGTAGGGACGTTTCCAGGACTGTCTTCCGTGGCTACGTTTGCAAAGGTGCTTGATACAGAGGCTTCGGTGGAGCCTGCGCCGGTTTGGTCCTTTGCGGGAGTATTAGGGGTTTCGGACGAGTCTCTTACTGGGATGTCCGTGGGGAGAGGAGCTCCAGTAGGGTTGAGGATGACCACGCTGCCCGGATGTAAGCCGGTGTTACGGCTCTGGCTCGGTACCAAGAGTAGAAGCAGCGAAAGCAGGACGGCCTCAGAGCGGCCCGCCATGCTGCTAGATAGTATCTTCTGTTTGTCGGCTGCTTCCTGCGCTAGAAAAAAAGTGATTGTCCTTTGCGGGGGTCCTTTAGGGACGCGGTTAAAAGTAAATTTAGCGAGTAAGATATTTTCCAGTATAAGTACTGATTAACACTGTCTCTAAACTTGTTTGCTTCGTGAGCTCCCTACTTTTTAGAGTTGCGGAGAGCAACAAATTGACAGTGACTGGCGGTAACGCGCTAACAGTGTTGCCGGTAAAGCCCTGCTTTTGCCGGTAACGTTGTAACGTACTCGTTACATTTTCAAAACGGTAACAGCTAATGTACTTACGCTACTTTTTCCAAGTAACGGGTAACGTATTTACGTTGCTCGTTACATAATCTTCCCAAGACTTTACAAAATTAGTTTCATTTTTTTGTGTTTCTAGATGCAAGCAATATATATTTTTGCGTTATTTGCGTTTTCCTTTGCGCTTTTCTTATGAGTATTTAGGTGAAATTGTAAAAAAGATACGGTTATTATGTTCAGTTTCTTCATGAACATAATGTTTCTTCAAATATGACACTTATGAGTACCTTTAACGTCAAAAAGTAAAATGTGATAATTTATAATTAAAAAAAAAAGTAATGCAAAAGTAACGCGCGTTTCTTTTTAAAGGTAACGATAATGCCTTCCTTTTATTTTTAGGTAACGGAGGTCTACAGTACAGGTCCATTTTATGCGCAAGTAACGAGTAACGTATTTTTTTTTCTCCAACGCCTACAACACTGCAAATCAACCCCTTGTAATTGACTAGTCTTCGGTCGCGGAGGGCCATTTCGGAAATGGTATAGACGCCATGAGACGGAAAAAAGCGTCAATGTAATGCGCCCATCAGACTATGTTTCGAACTATGACGTTCAGAGAGCATCATACACTTGAAAAACTTTGGCAATTCCCCACCCTCAACTTCGAACTTCTTCCCAGCTCTTTCTTTTAGCTCACACTAATCTCAAATTGACCGAGGAATACGGCAGCCAATTATAAATTCGAAACTAAGCTACCTGCGGTTGGGAGATACTCAGAGCTCCCCAGAAACACGTATTGGCAATGATAAACGTCCTTTGTGACGGTTCTCGAAACATACAAAACGCGTTTCAGAATTGTGATTTCGCGAGGCTAGTGCGCTAGTCCCCGGATGGCGCCGTTTCATTTTCGTCAGCTTGTCTTATACGCCCGGTGATGCTTCGCAAACCTTTGGAATTTCTAGCCACCCGGCGGGCCAATATCTACAGAATTTGTGTTAAAATTTGAATGTTGGTCATAACCGCACAGTGTATACCTCTAGAGGGCATGCAAGGCGAAGCTCATCACGCAAAGCCTTTCTGTGACCTTTGCGTGATTGGGAACAGTCCGCTCGAGGCCTTGTTTTTAGGATCACGCCACGACTGCAACTCGGGCACCGACCAAGCGGGCAAACAGCACCCAAGCACGTTATGCAACACGGCAGGCAGAGCCCGCACCCCGCGGGGTTTCGTAACATATTCTTGTACGTCCATCCACTGTTAATTGTTCAGATGTATTGAAAACAAAATTTTAACGACTCTCTTAGAATATACTTTATTCTATCTGAGCAGATTTTGGAGAATTTGTATTGTTCTTCGATGTTCGTAATGGTTTTCACGTACAGAACACAGAAGGTAAGTTATCTGCTGAGTAATTAAGTTTAAAGCAAAAAAAAAAATATGTCCATGATAAATTAAAGTTATTGTTATTAAATTAACTTAAAGTTATTGTTATTAAATTAAATTAAAGTTAAAGTTATTGAGAGCTTATGTTTCCGTTTCTTGCTTCGTGATTGGTCCTTGAAGTTTCTATCGGTTAATGACACAATCTCATTGGCTGCGGAGTAATAATAAGATTAAGGAAATAGTAGAAAGAAAGAAGTAAAGTGGATTAGGAGATTAGGATTGGGACAGCCATATATATGTAACCGGAGAATTGGTTTCTAAGCATAATCGCTTCTGGAAAACTTAGGAGTGGGAACTTTGATCCTTTGGACGTTGGCGTACAGATCTTTACTCAGAATCACTGTACGTCTTGTTTTGGATGGAATCCTAATTATTCCCACAATGAGCAGGTTTGTCGCAAAAAGTGGGTTATTCCTCGCAGTCGAAAGTGATATGGAAGATTGTTTCGTCGTCACTGCAGTTTGTGAAAAGAAGGACTCCCGACGACTGAGTTCTACTATAAATTTAGGTTTAGGCGTATCCACCCACGATGTCTATATACACAACAAGGACTGCTGCAGGAAACGTAAAATACGCACTGATAGCTACCCCTTTTTCTCCGTGATTGTGTCTTACGAAGTGACCACGAAAGAACACGTTTCTTACCAGAGGATATTCTATTATGTTTCATGTCTTTAATTAAATAGGCCGTCAGACGATTTAAATCTGAAGATAACTTTTCAGCTTTCTTAATAACTTTATATCTCTTTTTTTATGATTTACAGCGTAGCAATAGCCAGATGTTGCACTGACGCAGCGTTGAGCATCAATAAAACTACTGAGCCCACATCATTGTTAGCGTGTATGCTGAGTGCTGTTTATGCAATCGATGTGTGGAAGACTGTGAAACTTGAATCATGTGATATTTTGTGCATTGATTTTTCCCCTCAGACAAACAGGCAGTGGCAGGTAAAAATGTGGAAGTCACGAAAAAGCTATGCTCCCGGAACCTAACGAAACAATTACGTTTGTTTTTTGATCTGGAGTATAATCGAGGCAAGTAAGAACGTGGATAAAGCTTGTCAATTTGTTTTTGTTCGGGTTGTCGCAGTATTTCGTAACGACATTAAATTGCTCTTAAAAATGTACTATTTTTTAAATCGGATGTTGTGGTTTGTCTGCAAGTTCATTTATATAATTCCAATTGTAACACTATCTGAAACAAGAAACGCAGTGAATCGGCAGCTAAGGACTGCTGATTGTTCGTTGACTGTGCTAGAGGATTCGCTCAGATGAGTCTTATACGTCGAAACGATATCGTGCTCATCTAAGCCACACCAGGAAACCTGATACTCTTACCTTCCCGGTACCACCGTAGCGGCTAGCGATACCTTATTCGAGGTTACCTGGCGCGAACCAGCAAGGAACAAAAAAGCTTTCCTTCTGAAACATGTAGCTTTAAGCTCACACATAAGAGGGCATACCTGGAGGTTTTATGAAGATCTGTAAGCCGCAAGCGTCTCGTCTCTTTATCCAAGATGGACCCCGCAAAAGCGCGGCGGTAGTTGCGGCGCAGAAACGCCGACGACGAACTCGGTTCTTCGGAGTTCCAACCGTTGGAGGGTCTCGTCACCGTCACAAAAGCTCCGATTTTGCCTATGCTTCGAGGACACCGCACCCTCTAAACAGCGCTTGCGTGGGACTTGCAACGTCCCGCAGACGCGTTCGTCCTTCCAACGCTACGTTATTTGCAGACCGTGCTACGCGATTTTCCGTTGTCTAGGGGGCTGCAAGTTGGACTATGGGTTGACGGGACGGGACGACTTTTCGTCGGACCAGACACCCGGCACAGGCAGGCTGGTGGTTGGAGCACGCGGAGTGGCGCTGCCGGGCCGTCGTTGCCCGGAGACGCGGATCGATGGGGAGCCGGAGCCGTGGCCCAGCGGTTCGTGTCCTCTGCAGTGGCGGCTCCGTGTTCCCGCGCATGGGCGTTGGCCGCGGGAGTCCCCCCCAAAAACGCTTGCCCTCGATCTGTGTTAGCTGTATACATAAAACAAAGCGAACCTTTCCGGCATTGTTCGGGCAAACGCGCCCGCGAGCCATGTCATCTATTACGCACTGAAAGCCCTGGCCGCCGTGAACAGTGTCTTGCCGATTGTTCTGGACTGTTGCAAAGAAGATACAGCCGTAGTTTTCAAGTGTTCTCGAGAATTTTCTGAAGATTCGTTGAGAGCTTTGTGGATGTAATGGTAATTTCTTACACGACGTCTGCTATCGCAGCGTGATCTATCCCGGTTTTACTCCCTAGCTGGTTCGCTGAAGATCCAGGGTTGAGAAGATTTTTCTGTGGATCCCTGGGGTTTTTAAAAAGAATTCGTGTAGACGTTTGTTGAAAGCGAAGATAATTATTGTATTAAATGACCCTTTTACGCGCTCGAGATATTAGTTAACACATTCGAAGTAGCTAACGAATTTAATCGAAGAACACCTTTCTGTATGAGCAGGTTCGTCACTGACTCCTATGTCGCACCAGATTCACTGCGTTAACTTATGGTCAGTTTCTCCAAATCTTTGATGGTCCGCGTTACAGATTCACACGTTTCTGGCTCAAGAATTAATCGCTTCTCGACCCCACAAAGGATTACCTTCTTCCCGCGCGTGCCAGCGAACCACCGGACCACCGAGCAGCCGACGGCGGCGGTTCGCTTCACAGCGCGTTGAGTGGCTCTCTCCCTGAGGCCAGAGCTCTGCGGCGCGCGACCTCTACACACGCGGCGTGTAGGTTTTTTGGAGTCGGAGCTGGGAATCGTGGCCCTGGCCCGCGCCGCCGACCGGGCTGAGCGCCTAAAATTAAACGCGGCTCTTCCGTGGCGCTGCATCGCCGACGGTCGGCGGCGAGAAAGAGCGTCTGGCCGCGGTCTGCGGGACTCAGCGGATCGGCGCCCTGGCTCCGTTGTCGAGGGACTCCGCCTCAAGGCCGTCCGCAAACGCTCACGTAAGTGCCACCGACATTTTCTGTTCCACTCCGATTCGAAACTCTGGCCTGGCTTGTTACACGAAGGGTTTGATTTGACCACGCCTTTTGAACGGAAGAAAGTCCTTCCCACAACGGGCTAAATTAGGCGGTTCTTCTTCCTCTCGCTCTTTGCAAGGACGTCTTCTTGTGTGGTAAATTTGAGTTCATAAAGTCTCACTGGATTCTTACGTTGGGGCGCAGTGCCGTAGACCTTTAATGAGACTCTTAATTTGAGAGTTAAGCAAACCATATGGATTACATCATGACGATCCCCAAGCAAAGAAAAGAGGCCACACTAAGAAATAGAGTTTAACAAGACTTG